CTATGGTCAACCCGGTGGGCGCACCGGCTCTATGGTCAACCCGGTGGGCGCACCGGCTCTATGGTCAACCCGGTGGGCGCACCGGCTCTATGGTCAACCCGGTGGGCGCACCGGCTCTATGGTCAACCCAGTGGGCGCACCGGCTCTATGGTCAACCCGGTGGGCGCACCGGCTCTATGGTCAACCCGGTGGGCGCACCGGCTCTATGGTCAACCCAGTGGGCGCACCGGCTCTATGGTCAACCCAGTGGGCGCACCGGCTCTATGGTCAACCCAGTGGGCGCACCGGCTCTATGGTCAACCCAGTGGGCGCACCGGCTCTATGGTCAACCCAGTGGGCGCACCGGCTCTATGGTCAACCCAGTGGGCGCACCGGCTCTATGGTCAACCCAGTGGGCGCACCGGCTCTATGGTCAACCCAGTGGGCGCACCGGCTCTATGGTCAACCCAGTGGGCGCACCGGCTCTATGGTCAACCCAGTGGGCGCACCGGCTCTATGGTCAACCCAGTGGGCGCACCGGCTCTATGGTCAACCCAGTGGGCGCACCGGCTCTATGGTCAACCCAGTGGGCGCACCGGCTCTATGGTCAACCCAGTGGGCGCACCGGCTCTATGGTCAACCCAGTGGGCGCACCGGCTCTATGGTCAACCCAGTGGGCGCACCGGCTCTATGGTCAACCCAGTGGGCGCACCGGCTCTATGGTCAACCCAGTGGGCGCACCGGCTCTATGGTCAACCCAGTGGGCGCACCGGCTCTATGGTCAACCCAGTGGGCGCACCGGCTCTATGGTCAACCCAGTGGGCGCACCGGCTCTATGGTCAACCCAGTGGGCGCACCGGCTCTATGGTCAACCCAGTGGGCGCACCGGCTCTATGGTCAATCCAGTGGGCGCACCGGCTCTATGGTCAACCCAGTGGTCGCACCGGCTCTATGGTCAATCCAGTGGGCGCACCGGCTCTATGGTCAACCCAGTGGGCGCACCAGCTCCATGGCCACCCAGTGGGCGCACCAGGTATACGGTCAGTGCTGAATCAGAGGATGGAACCCGCAGCTCAGCTTTTTCACGCCTCTTCTCTCCTCAGGGTTGCACACAAGGTTCTGGAGTTTTTCTGAGGCCCAGCCTATGAACCCGGGACTTCAGGAGAATGATCATTAAAGTGTGGACCTTTCTGCTCATGGTCAAGTTGTCCTCATC